TTCCCCTAATAGTGATACCTCCCTATTTTCAGAATTCTGAAGATTTTGGCGACATTATTCACCGGAATTGTTTTAGCTACATGGTTCACTGAATTTTTTGTTCAAGTTTCGCATTTGAATATTGTAATGGCTTATGACAAAAGTTGTCTATGCAAGTCCGCGTCGTCGTATAGACGCTAAAATAACGGCTACATTCGGAATTTTTGAGATTTTTAACGGATTTTTTGTTGAAAATTGTCAAATTCGTCCAAATGGTGGAGGGTTCGGCCCAGCCGAACTTACAACTTTTTTACTTTTGGGCACATACGACCGAATTGAGTCTAGAAGGTAGTATGCATGCATAGCTCCCATATATATTGTTCATTCGATTTGTAGTATTTTTTACCCACAGCCGTGATATTCACTCCGTCCGTCTGTTGTAATCACGCTACAGTAAAAACGAATTAAGATAGGAAGCAAAAATTTTGCACAGACATGTCTTTTGTCTGCAGGTTTTTTGTCAAGTTCGATGATGGGATTGGGTGATTTTAGCCACATTTTCCAATGGAATTGTCTGAGATTCTACACAAGGAGTCTTTGTGTGTACTTTACCCTCTGATAACTACCCCTTTTATCCACGATATCGTATACCCCCCATTTAACGGCACTTCCCGATATTCGGTATTTTGATGATTTTAGCCGGTATTTTGATGACTTATTCACAGTCTATGACAGAAAAATGTTTGTGCAGGTCTTCGTATACCCCCCATTTAACGGCACTTCCCGATATTCGGTTTTTGATGATTTCAGCGACATTATTCAACGGAATCTTCATATAGCCCCCATATTCCCGATATTTGGTATTTTCATGATTTTAGCGACATTATTTACCGGAATTATTTCAAATTTTTATACCCTACACCATTATGTCTTTGGGCATTTGTTTGTAACAGGCAAAAGGAAACGACATAGACCCATAGTTCCTTTTGATGATCTGCATAGAATCACATTCTGAGTCGATTTATGCATGTCTGTCCGTCCGTTTGTCTGTCCGTCTGTCTGTCCATGTATTTTTGTAAACAAAGTACAGTTCGCATTTATTGCCCTATCCAGATGAAATTTTTCACAAATCATTTGTTTGGCCCAAGGACGAACCCTATTGAAATTGGAGATAATCGGTAAAAATTTAGATATAGCTACCATATATATCTTCGTCCGATTTGCCTTTTATTGTGCACCAAACGTGTAATATCAGTCCGAATAGTATGGAATTTTGCACGTACGATCAGATTGGACCTCAAAATAAGTATGCCAAATTTGATCGAAATCGGTTCAGATATAGATATAGCTCCCATATATATTGTTCATCCGATTTGTTATTTTTGTCCTCCGCAACCGTTGTATGCACTCTGTAACAACAATATTTGGGGAAATTTATCAAATACAGCTCAGAAATACATTTGTTAAATTTTATCGAGATCGGTTCAGATTTGGATATAGCTCCCATATATAACTTCGTCCGATTTACCTTGAATTGAGCACCAAAAGTCTAATATTTGCCCAAATAGGATGAAATTTGGCACTTACGACTTATGAGTCTAGAAGTATGTCAAATTTGGTTAAGATCGGTTCAGATATAGCTATAGCTCCCATATATACTGTTCATCTGATTTGTCATATTTGTTACCCACAGCCGTAATATGAACGATATTCAGGGAAATATATGAAATACAGCTCAGAAATATCTTTGCCAAATTTTATCGAGATCGGTTCCGATTTGGATATAGCTCCCACATATATTTTTATCCGATTTCAAATTAATTGTGCACCAAATGGGCAATACATGTCCGAATTTAAAAGATACAAATGCTTCGGCATATTTAGTTCTTTGAACTTTAAAATATAACTTTAATCATAGCGTGTATGATTAAATTCTCCCATAAAAACTTTTAATTATTATGGTGGTGTAGGGTATAATAAAGTCGGCCCCGCCCCACTTTAAGACTCTCTTTACTGGTTTTATTTCAAGTTTCTAAGGGGTACTACAGCCTATGAAAAAAATTTTGTATACAGGTCCACGTCTTCGTATAGCCCCCGTACTCGGTATTTTTATGTTTGTTACGACATTTTTCACCGTAATTGTAACAAATTTCGTATTTAAAGTTCGTAATGGGTACTACAGCAATGAGAAAAATTTTCGTATGCAGATCCACGTCTTCGTCTCCATATAACCGTTTTTATTTAAGTAGTAGTTTTCCTTCCAAATGGTGCATTGTATTAAAAGTTGGGCCCGGCCGGACTTAGCTGCTTTTTTACTTGTTTGACTTCTTCTTGTAGAAATATTGAGATGAGCGAAGTTAAGAGAAAGGAAAGAAAAAAAGTTAAGAACATATGTGTCTTATTTGAATATCTCTAGCATTTATAATTTGATTCTAAGAGTAACTATAACTCAGCCATCGGTGATATCCTAGATTAGATGGGGACTTTTGAAATGTTATTTGCTGTCTACAAAAATAAGAATAGTACCCATTTTTGACTTTACTTAAGCTGACGGATCAGCCAATCTAATTTTTATACCCTACAACACTAATTGTTGGGGGTATTATAAGTTTGATTTGGCCAAAAATTATGTAACACCTCGAAATATTGGTTTCCCACTTAGGAAAGTATATATGGATCTTCCTAGCTCGCTGAGCTGAGTCGATCTAGCTATGTATGTCCGTCTGTCCATGTTAATTTGTAATCACTCTACAGGTCGCAATTATGGCCCGATCTTCACGAAATTTAGAATGGAGGTGGGGCTAGGGTCAGAATAGAACCCTATTTCTTTTGGAGGTGATCGCATAATATTTAGGGGTTGAAATGGACCAAAAACTGAAAAAAGTCTTGATTTTGCAGTTGCTCTACAGGTCGCAATTATAGACCAATCAAAGCAGAAGTTAGCATGGGGCAGAAGTTAGCATGGGTTAGAGCTTAGGGCTGGGCAGAAGCCTTCCAATTTTGATGATCATCGGGTAATATTTAGTGGGTAAAATAGGCCACAATATTTGTGTTAAATAAAAGTCAAATTATTCATTAAACCGCGAATATTTTTAGTCCCGGCGAAATCACAAATATACGAACAGGTCAATTCTGACCGTTACGTAGATGTCGATAGTAAATATATCGGATATATATAGCGAAATATATACAATACATATATACAAAGGAAGGGGATGTTAGCTTGAATGCTTATATCTCAAGAATGGCTGGACAGATTTTGAAAATTTTTGTCAACTCAGAATGCCCTCTTGACATAAAAGTATAAAATCTAAAAAAGATCGCATAAAAATATGTCAATAATGATGTTAATGTAGATTTTGTAGTATTTTGTGACATTTTTTTTATTTTTTCATATTTTTTATCGCATGCGATTTTTTCAATGTGACTTATAATATTTTTTCACCTCACAACACAGGTTGGGATTATTATATAAGGATTGCAAATATCGTAGGGTTGGGTTCAGAAGGGTTTTCAAATATGTCCGCAATATATTAGGGGTTGAAATGGACCAACAACTAAAAATGTTCCTGATTTTGCAGCCGTTATAAAGGTCACAAGTAGAAACCAGAGGACACGAAATCTCGCATAAAGTTAGAGTTCAGGACAGCGGGTACATTACTTACAGGCGATATCCGAAATACACAAAAGGCGAACACCTGGCTTTTTTATGCTGATTTCGTTGACGAATATAGCCAAATATCGTAGACAAGCAAATCATATAGATGAGTCTAAATTTGGAGATATAGCAAAATATTTAGGGGTTCAAATTAACCAAAAACAGAAATGTTTTTCTGATCAAACAATTGAAGCCAATCGACACACCTGTGAAGAGAGTTAAGGACAGGGAAGAATTCTATCATTTTGGATGACCATTGGATTATATTTAGCTGTAAAATGGACTACAACAACTAACAGCACGACGGAGTGCATATATATTGGGCAAATGTCCCTAGTCAAAATTCTAATTTATAATTCAAATATGGATTTGGACATAAGGGGGCATTTAACACATTGTAGTGTTGTAGGGTATTACATGGTCGGCCCCGCACTACTATAGCCTTTGCTTACTTGTTTATTTTGTTTTTAAAGTATGCATCTACCAAATGACTTTCGCAAATTAATCGCCCAAATTTGGCACAAATTTCGTATATTCCTTAAATATATGTCCTGCTAAGGCTCTTTTTAAGTTGAAAGACTTTTATCCAGAGCTTTTGCTTTGGACTTGTGTTGGGTTTTAACGAAATTACAGGATCAAACCTCTTTAAAAACAGCTTGTATTATTTTCCAGGATTAGTTTCCAAAGCCTAGGTTGAACACAATTTTTTATTTTATACAAAGTTTGGTTTTGAGATTCGTGTAGCTTCTACATCAATGCCGACCATCAACATTTCCTTAAAAACTACGTCAGTTTTTCTTTTAAAAAATTTCCACAACTAACTATCATCCGACGATGGTGGCTGGTAATTTTCCTTCAAGGGCTGCAGGCCATGAATCACTGGGAATAACGAGAACATAATAAACAAATGAATTAACAATTAACGTCAACAACAATTAAAATTTAATTTGTTTATGATGCATTTCATTGATTCTTATTGAAACCTAAACCAAAGAAGGGGGAAGTGGGGGAATAGTGGATGTTCTGCACTAAATTAAAATACTATTGAATTAAAATCTCTACAAAATCGCGTAGATTTCATTTAAGTTTTTTCTCTATTTTTTGTCTTGCAATGGGTCGGTCCCTCGGGTTGGCTAGCTAGCTGACTGTCTGTCTGTCTGTCTCTCGTTGTTGTTTTGCATCATTAATTGTAAAACAATAACAACAAGTATATTGAAGGAAGAAGAAACTGAAAGATATGCAATAGACGAAGATACGTAAAAGACTAACCGACTATGGGGAAAGAACAAGATCTTAGAGAAAAAGAAAAGTTCGAAAATTCATTGTAAACATTTTTTACACCAAAACTGTTCGAAAAGATTTTCAGTCTTCTCTGAGTTATCGAGGCATCAACACGAAATTTAAAAAAAATAGAAAAGAATTAATTTTCATTCAAAGACGGAAAATGGACAACAAATTAAAATAAAAAAAAACGAATTGAATGTTATGTTGAATACAAAGTGCAAAGCAATGAACTTGAAATAAAATTGAACGGTTTTTGTGTTTGAAATAATTCTAAATCTATAGAAAGTGATTTTCAAATTTTGAAGAATTTTAAAGGAAATTGTAAATAATAAATATCGGTCTTTACGAAAATTAACTAATTTTTACATAACTGGTCTTTGCGGGGTTTTTTCACCAACAACTTTTATTGAATTTGTCCTCTTATCGCACATAATTCATTTTAAAGTTATATAACCGTCCACATTTTCTCCACGTATAAACTACTTAGGGTCCTTCAAGGACTGACAATGGATTCGGATAAAGTTGTGCGCGCCATGGCGCGTTGGTGGCAGGTAAATTTAGAATTTATTTTTCATTTTTGTTATTTTCATAAATTTCTTCTTCTTCGTGTTAACGCTTGAGTGGTCACATTGACGCGATTCTCTGGTCCACCACTCATCTAGCCAGCCCCCAAAAAACACTCCTACATCGCGACATGGCTGGCAAACACACCCCCTTTTCTTTTATAATTTATGAATAGTTGTCGTCGTTATTGTTGTCGTTTTTATATAATTTTTGTTTATTTGCGAGATTCTCTTTGCAATATTGAAAATAATTTCGAAAATTACATATCAACAGCTGTGCGGATATATTCGCTGTTCGGTTCGTACAATATGAAAAAGTTTGTGTTTTCGTTTATTCGTTTTGACGAAAACATTATGTTTTTCAAGTGTTGACTGAATTTTTGTGGTTGGTCAACGGATTTTTTGTTTAAAATTTTTGTAGGAAAATTACACTGTTCTGAAACATTTCAGAGAATTTTTCCAAAATACAGAATCTAAATGCAATGTAACATTTAGGAGATTGGTGGAAGAAAATATAGATCTCATTGTTTGGGTGCTAAAGAATTAGAAATGAACAAAGTTGCAAAGTATGAACAACCAGAAAGGACGGATTACTTTCAAATCAAACTTCTATGATTTTTTCTAACCTCCACCATGGTATGGAGGGTATATTAAGTTTGTCATTCCGTTTGTAATACCTCGAAGTATATATTTTAGACCCCACAAAGGTTATTTATCAACATCGATTTATCGATGTCCGTCCGTCTATCCTTCTGTGGAAATCACTCTAGCTTCCGAACGACATGAAGTAGGTTGATACAATTTTACTCAAATGTATATTATTTCTGCAGGACTTTTGGTATTGAAAATGATCCATGTAGGTCCACGTTTTGTTATAGTCCCCATATAATGATACCTCCCTATTTTCAGAATTTTGAAGATTTTGGCTACATTATTCACCGGAATTGTTTTAAATTTGGTAAGAAGACAGAAAATTGTCTGTTCAGGTCCACGTCTTTGTATAACCCCCATATAAAGGCTCCTTCCGATATTCGGTATTTTGATGATTTTAGCTACATTATTCACTGAATTTTTTGTTCAAGTTTCGCATTTGAATATTGTAATGGCTTTTGACAAAAGTTGCCTATGCAAGTCTACGTCGTCGTAATGGATACTACAGCCTAAGACAGAAAATTGTCTGAGCAGGTCCACGTCTTTGTATAACCCCCATATAACGGCTCCTTCCGATATTCGGTATTTTGATGATTTTAGCTACATTATTCACTGAATTTTTAGTTCAAGTTTCGCATTTAAATATTGTAATGGCTTATGACAAAAGTTGCCTAAGAAAGTCCACGTCGTCATATAGACTCCAAAAAAACGGCTACATTCGGAATTTTTAAGATTTTAAAAGAATTTTTAACGGATTTTTTTTTTTTTTTGAAAATTGTCAAATTCTTCCAAATGGTCGTCCAGTAATATCGTTGTTACAGAGTGCATATTATAGCTATGGAGGACAAAAATAACAAATCGGATGAACAATATATATGCGAGATATAGCTATACCTGATGCGATTTTCCCCAAATTTGACATAATTGCTTCTGGCTCAATTTGTACCAAATGTACCTTGGAAATGTACATTGGAAAATCGGACGAAGATATATATGGGAGCTATATCAAAATTTCGACCGATTGTCTAAAATTTGAATTCTTTTAAAATCTTATATTAGGGTCTACGACGACGCGACATAGGCCACGTTTGTTATAAGCCATTACAGAACTCAAATGCGAAACTTAAAAAAAAATCGGTGAATAATGTAGGTAAAATCATCAAAATACCGAATATAGGGAGGTACTATTATATGGGGGCTATACCAAAACGTGGGCCAGCACGAACAATTTTCTGTCATAGGCTGTAGTATTCATTACAAACTTTAAATGCCAAATTTGAAACAATTCCGGTAAATAATGTTGCTAAAATCATCAAAATATCGAATATCGGGGGGTACCGTTGTATAGGGGCTATACGAAGACGTTGACCTGCACAGACAATTTTCTGTCATAGGCTAAGGGACCCATCACAAACTTTGAATACCAAATTTAAAACAATTCGGGCAATTAATGTCGCTAAAATCATCGAAATATCGAATATGGGGAGGCACCGTTCGTTATATGGGGGCTATACGAGGACGTGGACCTGCATACGAAATTTTTGGTCATATGTTGTAGTATCCATTAAAATATTCCAATATTAAATTTGAAACGATTCCGTTGAATAATGTTGCTGAAATCATCAAAATACCGAATATAGGGAGGGACCGTTATATGGGGGCTATACGAAGACGTGGACTTGCATACAAAAATTCTTGTCATAGGCTGTAGTACCCATTACGAACTTTAAATATGAAATGTTAATTAAATTAAATTTTAAATTAATTTAAATTAAATTTAATTTCAATTCCGGGGAAATAATGTCGCAAAAATCATGATAATGTCGAATATCGGGAGGTACCGTTATATGGGGGCTATACGTAAACGTGGATTGACATGGCCAATTTACGAACTTAACCTACCTACTGGTGAACTATGCGTATATGCAAAATTTTAGCCTTCTATCTCAATTTGTTTGAAAGATGGTGATGATTACAATAGACAGACAGACGGACATCGGTAGATCGTCTTAATACGCTGATCCAGAATATATATACTTTTTTATATGAATATTTCGAGTTGTTGCAATCGGAATGACCATCCATAAAATGGAGGAGGGTATAAAAAACAAGTCTTAGCTGTCCGGCCACGCCGAACTTTTTATACCCTCCACCATTTAGAAGAATTTTTTATATTATGCAGAATTGCTACTATCCAGTTTAAAGAGTGTTTAAACCATTTATATAAGACCAAAAAGACGCTTTTCGTCACTCGATTGAGGGTTGATATTTTCGACAACCTAATCATCGTATTTTTATAAAAAAATCTTAATTTTGAAGAGGGGGAACTTAAACCCTACTTCTTTTTAAGGTTACTTTGCGATGCAAAAAATTTGGTTGATGGTTCTAATAGCGACGTAACTAAATTTTAGAGCAACTCGGATATTCAACGATTAATGTCCGATGTTGTTTTTTTTTCCATAATATTTTATGCATTTCTTGACGCAGAATCTGTTGCATTGTGTAATTTACATCAAAACTGCCATTAAACACCATCACTTTGAGTTGTTTTGCAGTGAAATTGCGTATATGGACGGGAGCCAAATTATTATAAAAATAAAATCTTAGGATATGGCCGATTTAAGACAAATATGCTTCGCAGATTGCAATGCAGGCGATTTTGAAAAAATTAAAAAAATTTAATTAGATATAATATTAAATAAAACAAAAAAAAAAAAACGTTTCTACTTCAAACAAATAAGAACTGAAAATATTTCCCAGAGGAGCAAAAATCTAAAAATTAAAAGTTAAAGGAAGATTTGACATTTGTACCCCTTTTCCCCCTCTAAATCATCCAACGCGACAAACCCACATTGGCGCCGTTTAGTCATTGACGTTTACCTCATAGCTACGTAGCACGTGCGGTATGCCAAAATGTGGCTAAATTTGGACGAGTTGTTATGTTGTTGCATTTGCTGTTGTCTTTATTTTGTGCATTTCTTTTATTGTAAATTGGTAAAATTTTTTAAATGTTTATTTTTTGTTCCGTTTGCTTCGTTTCTTAGTGCATTGTTGAGATTTTTTCTAAATTGTATTCTTTTTTTATTTTGTAATTTCGATTTTGTTGTAGTTGTGGCTTTTGATTAGTACTTTTTTTACTAAACTTGAACTTTAGAATCGATTGGCATGCTTTGGGGAGGTCCAAAGTCCAAATGAAATAGTTTTAAATGAAAATTGGGGGAAAAATGCCACCGCCAACCAGATTTATTTTTTCAAATAACAAACGGAAGTGATTTTTCTCTTGACGTTAAGTAATTGAGAATGAGGTATTTGATGAACAATCGTTGATGAGACATTATCTTCAAGGATGGAAATTTTGTATTTGGAGTAAAAAATTATTTGTATATTTGATACGGAAAACAGAAAAGAATTTAAAACATTTCGGAATGAGACTTAAGGGTCCTAGACTCAAAATATTTTTTTGTTCTTTAATCCTTTGGATGGCACTGTGCAACACAAAAAAAAGTTGAACCCACTTGCATCGGCATTTTTATTCTTTAAATAGGAAAGTAGATTTGATAGAGGGAACAAGTTCTCCCTCTTCCAAATTTATTGAAATTTCCGGATTAAGATTTCTTGGAATGCGTGGATTTATAATATTATAGTGTCTTTGGCAATATTTCTGCTAAAAATGCTACGATTATTTTGGTCAGAAATTTTAACCCTCTAACAAGTCATAAGAGGGGATTTTTTTTGGATTTTAAATGGAATTATTCTACTAAACATGGGCGATAAAATTCTACTTTTTCAATGCCTAAAAAAAATGCAGCGGATAATAAAAGTAGAGCTAAAGATTGAAGTATTTGTGTTTTGAAGTTTTTCTTCTCAAAGTAACCTAAATAGAGACCGCAAGTTTCCCTCTATCTCATAATTTTTAAAAATTTCGGATTAAGATTCTTTGGAATTCTTACAATTAATATTACGGATTACAATACGATGATTATTTTGGTTAAAATATTGTAACCCTCAATTGAATTTTTAATTCATAATTGCTAAAAACACATTTTAGGGTTAAAGCTTTATATACCGCACCCCATGTGAATTTGTGCAAAATTCTTCCAAAAAACTTAATTTTGGAAGGTTAACGTAAAAGACCACAACATTCTTCATCAAATTTCACTATAAATCGGCAAAGAAAATAAATCTCTTTTCGCATTATATGTCATGAAAATGCTTACGTCAAAAGAGGAAAACATTTTCTTACTTTTTTGATATTTTTTCTGGTCTTTTTTGGAGTTGATTAACGAATGTAACAATTACTTTCATTTTAGACGGAAAGTGCCAATAGTACATACAGGGTGAGATAAAAAAACTGGAACAAAGCCATACGTCATAATTTTTACATGTTTTTAATTTTATTGAATGAAAGCAAACAATGACGGAAATAGCATCACATTTTAGAATAAGTTTAGATTTGTTCAAATTTTGGCAAGGATTATGGCTTTCAAACGGCCAATGAAACCGTCACACGCTGCGCGAATGTTGCTCTGCGGTATTTTGGCCCATTCCCGGCGAAGCGCTCGCTTGAGGTGATCGACACTTTGGTATTTTTTAGGGCCAATCTTGTTTTCCAAAATACTCCAGACACAATAGTCCAACGAATTGGTTTCCGGAGATTTTGGTGAATCTCATTTTGTAACCATTCTTGGTTGGCGCGTGGCTTTAAGGAAGATTATTTGTCATAAAATTCTACTATAGGTCCTAGAAGGCTTTACTGGGTTTTAGGGAAGATTTAGACCAGTAAAGCCTTCTAGGACCTATAGTAGAATTTTATGACAAATAATTTTGTAGAGTATTCTGACTTGCTACGATCCCTTTTAATCATTTTTTAAAAAAGTACCAAAAATACCCATATGTTGACTGACTTGAGGGTAAAAAATTTCTACTTTCTAGGGTTAACAATTTGTATTTGCAATATTGTCGAAGATACTGTATACATAAAATACACGAATTCCGAAGAATCTTAATCCAAAAATGTTTAAAAGTTTGGAAGAGGGTGGAACTTGTCCCCTCCATTTAGGCGACTTTCGAAGTAAACTTCTTTTTTTAGCTCTACTCTGGATTTTCTCCGCAATTATGGAAAAAAACATTAATTTTTTATTGTGTTATTATAAATTTTAACCCTTTCTGGGGTATGTACTAGAAATTCTATATTGTCCAATTTTGCACCTGATAAAATATAGGGATTTGCAAAGATGTAGAAAAGTCGTATGAGCCATTTTTTTCTACGATGTATATTATTTTTTTTTTTGAAATTTTTGATATTTTGTGGTGGAGGTACCGGAAAGAGTGGACCGACATTCCCCATCTCCCATCTAAGTTTAAAAATAATATACAACGCAAGTTGTTGTGCGCGCCATCAAGCCAGCCAACCAGGACTAAAAAACATTTAAGTAGAATTCATTCCATTCGGAAAATGTTATATACCGCCAGAGACGTACGATAAGAGGGTGGAAATACTGGATGGCCGGTCCCCTTCGAAATGGTTACTATTATGCAATGCTAGGCGCTTTTGCATGGGAAAATTTAGTCTTTACTAGTAGCCCACACTCCGGAAATATTTGGAAAGGTGTACGTCCCTGATATATCATATAGTACGGTGGAGAGTATACAAATGAAATAAACCTTTTAAAATACCCCCAATCGTATGTTGGAGAATATAAAATTTATCATATTTTGGTAGATCTATGCTGAGCCTCCTTGAATTTAAATGGAGTGGAGTGTCAAGTATTTAGATGAGATTTTGAGATTTTTTACCAGTTTTTTTTTATACTTATTATTTTTATACCCTCCACCATACTATGGAGGGTATATGAATTTTGTCATTCCGTTTGTAACTCATCGAAATACTCATGTCAGACCCAACAAAGTATATATATTCTTGATCAGCGTAAAATTCTAAGACGATTTAGCCATGTCCGTCTGTCTGTCTGTTGTAATCACGCTATCTTTCGAACAAATTGAGATAGAAGGCTTAAATTTTGCACACATGTATATTTTGCCAGTAGGCAGTTTAAGTTCGTAAATGGGCCATGTAGGTCTAATATATCATATAGCCCCCATATAACGGTACCTCCCGATATTCGGTATTTTGATGATTTTAGCGACATTATTCACCGGAATTGTTTCAAATTTGGCATTTGATGTTCGTAATGGATACTACAGCCTAAGACAGATAATAATCTGTGTAGGTCCACGTTTTCGTATAGCCCCTTTATAACGGTACCCCGCGATATTCGGCATTTTGATGATTTTAGCGACATTATTTACCGGAATCGTTTCAAAGTTGGCATTTGAAGTTCATAATAGATACTGCAGCATAAAACAGAAAATGGGTCATGTAGGTCCACGTCTTCGTATAGCCCCCATGTACCGTACCCCCCTAAATTCGGCATTTTGATGATTTTAGCGACATTATTTACCGGGATTGTTTCAAATTTCGCATGTGAAGTTCGTAATGGATACTTCAGCCCATGCCAGAAAATTGTTTGTGCAGGTCCACGTCTTCGTATAGTCACCATATAACGGTACCCCCTATATTCGGTGTTTTGATGATTTTAGCTACATTATTAACAGATTTTTCTTCAAGTTTCGCATTAAAATATTGTAATAACTTATGACAAAAGTTGCCTATGTAGGTTCACGTCGTCGTATAGGCATTCGGTATTTTTAAGATTTTAACAGAATTTTTAACGGATTTTTTTTTCTTTTGGAAATTGTCAAATTTGTACCAAATGGTGGCTTTTTTATTTGTTTTCCTTTCTTTGAAGAAATAACATTTTTTTTATTTATTTTTAGACTGTCAGTCAGGAAGACAATGACCCCAGCTCACGGAATCCTATGCTGTATGACCCCCTGCAAGATGGGGTGGTCAAGACATCAAAGAAAATGCAGTATTTTGCAGCCATGGTTGGTAAGTAGTAATGCATTTTCCATCCCCTATAACATTCTCTTAATTATTATTTTCTCCTTTCCCCTTCCGCATAGTGTGTTTGGGCGCCGTTTCGGCAGGTACTGCACTAGCTTGGACATCCCCCGTACTGCCACAGATTAGTGAGGATCCAAATGCTAATACCACTGCAAACAATGCTACCGCTGATGGCTCGTCGTCGTCACAGCTGCAATTGACACTAAGTCAGCGTAAGTAATGACATAAACCCTACCCGACACCCATTTGAAGTGGCCGATTGTTGGGGGGTCTTAATAATACATTAAAATTTCATAAAAATATTAATGGTTTACCATGTGCAATCGAATTTCCATGAAATAAGTATGATTAATAAAATTGTCCACCTCATCGCCAGGCATTTACATTTCAAGTGGTTCTCCCCTAATGCCGGTTGATTAGTTGGCAATCAGTGCAACTGTTGACAATAAATCACAACAATTCAAACATTGACGGTCAATTCAATTACGATAGTTGACGCCAGTTTCAAGTGTCGTATTTACTTTGGAACTATTGCAAACACACACACACACACACACACACACACAATTGCATACATCAACTTATGGATATTCTGACATTGTTAGTGTTTCCACTTCTTCTTCTTCTTTCGGAAGGGGTGGTGATGACAACCCTTAATTTGCTAAAGGCAGACAATAGTGTTACGATTTTGGTTTCGCCTTCCTGACCAACTGAACCTGAACTAATCTTTTTATTAGTGTGGTCTGTCATTGCCATTGGCAGTCATTTCCATTACCGTTTGCACTCTTGAGACTATTGCGAAACGTTTCATTCGTTGCCTTCAATTGCACGATGAGTGATAGCCACTGAAGTGCAATCTAGCAGTGATGAGTTGTATGATTAGAACGTTTGAAGTTGATTGTTAAGATGTGTGTGTGTGTGTGTGTGTGCAACAAGCAAGTGGTCACTTGGAGAAACCTTATGGCTATTATCGTTTTGTACTATAGATGAAAAAGTAGCGCGTGTAGAATATTTATCCTCAGTTTCCACCATTCGAGGGAAGGATTGCTTCCTGGAGTTGTGTATGTGAATTGGTTGTTAAACTTTCCCTTTAATACTGTGCAACAAAATTATAAAAAAAAATTCAGTAGACTATGAAAGCAGAGCCTAAAAAGAAGATCCGTTAATCAGCGATATGAAAGTTTACATAGAAAACAAGTTAGCAAAGGCTATAGTCGTGCGGGGTCGACCATGTGCTACCCTACAACACTATTATATGTTGAAAGCCCCTTAGATTCAAATCCATTTTGGTAGTTTTGGTTTTTGAAATAATGCCGTACCGCCCTGCGTAAATGTTACGTTTGTTTTTGACCGGGTGCACTTGCCCTATATTTACCCTCTCTGCCGTGCTGATAGATATTCAAAACCATTTCAAACGAAATTTGTGGTCTATTATCCATTAAATATAATCCGATGATCGTATTTTTATACCCTCCACCTTGGAAAGGAGGGTATATTAACTTTGTCATTCCGTTTGTAACATCCTTAAATATTCGTCTTAGACCCCATAAAGTATGTATATTTATAATCAGCATAAAATTCTAAGTCGATTAACGATGTCCGTCTGTCTGTCCGTCTGTCTGTTGAAATCACGATACAGCCCACATTATTTGACGTAGAGTGCCAAAATTTAGCAGAGCTATTTGCATTGTGTCTAGGATGGTTGGTATTGAAAATGAGATATATCGGTCCACGTTCTGGTATAGTCCCCATATAACGGTATCTCCCTATATTCGGTATTTTGATGATTTATGCCACATTTTTTCACGGATTTGTCTGAAAATTGGTATTTGTAGGTCGTAACGGGTCCCTGAACGTGTGGCAAAACATTGCATGTATAGGTCCACGTTGTGGTATAGCCCCCATATAAAGGTACCTCCCGATATTCGGTATTTTAGTTTTTTTGCTACATTTTTTCACGGATTTGTCTAAAAATTGGTATTTGTGGGTCATAAGGGTTTCCAGCTCCGGTGGCGAAACATTGCATGTATGGGTCCATGATTTGGTATAGCCCCCATATAACGGTACCTCCCGATATTCGGTATTTTGATGGTTTTTACCACATTTTTTCACTGATTTGTTTAAAAATTGGTATTTGTGGGTCATAATGGGTTCCAGCTCCGGTGGCGAGACATTGCATGTATGAGTCCATGATTTGGTATAGCCCCATATAAGTGTACCTCCCGATATTCGGTATTTTGATGGTTTTTGCCACATTTTTTCATTGATTTGTCTAAAAATAGGTATTTGTGTTTGTCATGATGGGTCCTAGTTCGTGTGGCGAAAAATTGTAATTATAGGTCCACGTTTTGGTGTAGCCCCCATATAACGGTACCTCCCGATATTCGGCATTTTAATGGTTTTTGCCGCATTTCTTCTAATGTTTCTTTTACCCTAAGGTGGAGGGTATTAGTTTGGCCCGGCCGAACTTAATGTTTTTTTTACTTGTTTTACATAAAATTTATGGTCTATTTTATCCGCTAAATATTGTCCGATAACCATCCAAATTGGCAAATATGCTTCTGTCTAGCACTAAACTTTAATTGCAAGCAAAATTCCAAGCCATATATCATTTGACACGGTCAAAACATACCTAGTCGACATAACGGTTTTCACAAGGTTTCTTTGGAAAAAAAAACGTTTCAGGACATTTGAAGTTGATCTAGCGATGTTCGTCCGTCCGTCTATCTGTCTGGCTGGTGCGCACGATAACTCTCTAAGGGAGTATCCAATTTGTTCCCAACTTTTTACATATTAAATTTTGTGAAACTTAAATCGAGTTCGGAGATGGGAAACATCGGTACACCCCTTCTGGTAAAAGGTTGAAATTTTCAAAAAAAATATATTTTCTGCACACAAAGAGAAACGATAATCCGATTTTGCAGACTTTGTAAATCCTAATATATGCGGCAGTGCTAAGGTGCGAAAAAAATTTCACAAATCCCAATATTTTTATAAACTCAAGATCTGGTGTTAAGATGGAATATATCGGTCCGGTCCTTTTGGTACCTCCCCCACAATGGCTCACAATTTTGAACATTCATGACGCTTCTAAAAACGTGAAATTAACATCCGGTTCCATTCAGACTTAGTACATCTCAATATTTCCATCATCGCAAGATCTGTTATAAAGATGGTAGAGATCGGACTATTTCTTCTGGTACCTCTCCCACATAAGGTTCAAGCTTTTGATAAACCAGACGCTCAAAGAAAACGAAATAAATGATATATATCTGCGAACCATTTCTGGTACCTCACCCACAAACGGCCACAATTTTCAATACTTTTATCTGTTATAACTTGCAAAACAACTCAGCGATTCTTTACAACTTGCTATGCCTAAATATTTCTCTCAACCAGAAACCCAAGAAAGATCATGCAAAAATTATTATCTAACAACTAGCTGAACTCGGTGCGCTTCGCTACCCCTTTGATTTTTTATGCTTTCAAAATTTCATATACGAATATTTTTTTGGATTAAAAAAAAAAATAATAAAAAAATATAAAAAAAATGAAAAAAACGTAATTTATTTAATACTTTAATGCATAAACAAATAAATAGCTCGGTCTACCAACGCGTGAACATGCCAGGAACAGCTGACCATGAGAAAAGCAGAAACATGCCAAATTTAGTCCACGTACACGAAGGGTTTGTCCTTCGGATTTATCAATTTCATAGCAAATGCTAAGCATGCAGGAAACTGAAATCTTTTGAAGTTGAGTGGCATTTCTCTTGCAATTAGTGAATTCGAGGTAGCTACATACTTCCCCGTAATAATCGTAGCAATGTAAAGGTTTTGGGGTCAATGCTGTTTAATAAAACCATATTCCAATCTGAATAGATTTCAATAAAATTTGACAAAATTTAATTTTACACCAAATTCCGTCACACCTTGCATATTTAATTGAAATTGGAGGTACATACCGTGTTCAGTTCGAAATCGGTCGAAAATATATATGAGAGCTATATCCAAATCTGAACCGATTTCTATATAATTTGGCAAAATTATTTTTGTGCCAAATTTAGTCACTCATGCCAAATTTCATTGGAATCGGACATACGTATCGTGTTTAGGCATCAAATAAACGAAATCGGCCGAAAATATATATGGGAGCTATATCCAAATGTGAACCGATTGCAATATAATTTGGCACAATTACTTTTGTTCCAAATTCCGTTACGCATTCCAAATTTGGAGACTGTATCTGTAATCGATCATAGATATGTGCAAATGAAATTTAAATTTTTGGGAGGTACCTCCGATTCTGATGCCATATTTCCAGTTCCAAGTGGAATTTCAAAAATTTTCATAGCCTATGTTACTTTTAGGCGATGTTCTAGTATACTTGGAAATTTTTGAGGAAAATCTGTTCAGCGGTTTTCGAGTCCATAAATTACAAACAAACAAACAAACATACAAACATGTTCCTCCTTTATAGATATAGATTCTAAGAAGAGTAAAAATGGGTCGAAAAAAGGTAAACACGACATAGTCAATATAAACTATCTTGTGACGTTAATAATATATAACTTTTGGAGTAGTTGATATTTGAATTGCACTCGAATGCGTAAATGTGTTGGGATAGAGCCATCAAAGAAAAGATATCAATTAATTTTTAAAGTTATCAATACATTGTGGTCAAGAGGAATACTCAAAAAAACAATAATTATCAAGTAAAAAGCATCACTTGGAACGAATTTGGCAATTTTCAAAAAAAAAATAAATAAATAAATAAATAAATAAATAAATAAATAAATAATAAATAAATAAAATAATAATAATAATAATAAAATAATAATAATAATAATAATAATAATAATAATAATAATAATAATAATAATAATAATAATAATAATAATAATAATAATATAATAACAATAATAATAATAATAATAATAATAATAATAATAATAATAATAATAATAATAATAATAATAATAATAATAATAATAATAATAATAATAATAATAATAATAATAATAATAATAATAATAATATAATAATAATAATAATAATAATAATAATAATATTAATAACAATAATAATAATAATAATAATAATAATAATAAATAATAATAATAATAATAATAATAATAATAATAATAATAATAATAACAATAATAATAATAATAATAATAATAATAATAATAATAATAATAATAATAATAATA